TGTCCACAAAATAATACTTCACATCTAATCCACATACATATTTTTGGATTCCCCCATTCATACATGACAGCTTATTGGACTGTCGTTCAGCGTGGTTCTTGCCAAAACCATTTTGGTGACGAAAAGTGGCAATGGAGCTGCTGTCGAAAATGCGATGTTTTGTAGAAGACCACCTAGAAGGGAGCACACCCACACCGGTAAAATTTGCTAAGATCTCGCCGGACCAGCCAATTCAAACGAAATGCAAAATGACTTTTAGATACCTGGATTGGCTGAATTTCTGGGATCACCCACCATGCTAATCGGCATTTGTTGCGCAAGCGCTTATCCCGCAATCCGGTCGCTGAACCCAGGAGTCAACGGAAGAAGTCTTCCGCGAAATGCTCAATGCCCTTCCCGCACTCTGACGTCATCTGGCCTTTAGCGCGGGGCTGACACCGACCGCGGCCCATCTCCCTCGGGGCAAATAGCGAGCACCTAAGGCGTCTCCAAGCAACGGGTGGGTGAACCGGAATGCAGGTGCTCTAACCAACTGTCGGAGAGGACGTGATTGGATGACATGATTCATTCGATGGTTCATCATCGAGGTATTTCTGCATGTTATCTTTACATCACCAGGTTGATACCCTTTCGCTGTTCTACCATACGCTGCCTGGTGTAGCTATCGTGTTGTGCCGATGCGCGAGCTGACCAAGTAATAGATTAATGCACCCCACCTCAATCGGCGATCATCAAATCGTGAGCGTGGATCAAATAGTTTGTACTTTTTTAAGGATGGTATGGGATGCTGAATCCTTTGTGACAGAACAGCCGCAGCTTGTGTACCACCTCAGTTTATGAACCTCCCATACGGCCTCTGCTAAACCTCACATTTCCCATAATATTGTGGCGTGCACAGCGAGCAGCGAGTCACTTGCTGTTTTTTTTTTTAGTGAAATTCCGGGCAGATATGAACTGGAGTGTCTAAGTACGTAACCAACGCGTGAGTTGTTGCCACCTTCAACCCTTCGGCTGTCGGCGGCACAAAAAACAGTCGGCATAACTGAATTTGTTCAGTGTCGATGGCATTTCCCCAGGATACGCTGAGGGCAACAAGACCGGACGAGACTCACGTGCTCCGACGGGCATACTCCGGACGAGACTCCTGTGCATCGACGGGCAGAGTCCGGAGATCGAACCACTCCTGTAAGGGAGCGGCATAGCGTTGGCAGGCGGAAATTCAGGCCGACGGGCAGCTTGGATACCGGACGCACCTGCAGATGTATAGGATTTTGGATTAAGCTGGGGCGGCGATGTTACGGCCTTATGGCTGTCCGTGGCGCCGTGTAACGCCAGTCAGAATACTTCTGCTGAAAGAATGTGCACTTGTGTAGGGCAACCGGGGACGAAGTTAACAGGCGATTCACTCACGTCTCGGAAAGCGAGACCGGAGAATGACGGTAAGTCCCAACACCATGAAGGCAATACGTTTCTGTATCTCGTTTGAGGGACATTTTGATGTGATTTCAGTCCACCAAATGACTTGTTCCAAAGCTATCCACTAATAAATTGCACTTCCAGATGGTGAGAGTACGTTTGATTTCATTGATATGGGGTTTTCAACTGATCGCACCCAAATGTTGCGTGCCGTTAGTTTGTATGTTGAAGCCTCTCACTGCATGGCGGAAGTGACTTACGCAATGCCATCCCGGGTCAAAGGACGACAGTTCGTGACAGCGTTTTTGTATACCCGTTTGCCTGATGAGCACAGTGAAGGTTAGGACAGCAGAGGCTAATTAGGCGGCACGACGTGCAGGCTTCCGCCCATTACAACCACCGCCCGCCTGCATGCCACCGTCGGCAGAAAGCGTCACGCAGTCATCGCGCTACCGCTGTCCGTGTATCCAGATTCCAACATCGTCAGAGCTGATCTGCTGCGGAACTAAGCGGATATCTGCAGACCTTACTCGTCCTAAGTTTGGGCAGTGACATTGGCCGTGCGTAAATCTCCAACAATCGGGTCAGATGCCCGCCGAGTGACCGTTGTTCGTGATAAAAGAAGCGGATGATAATACGGGGAACTCCCCCTCGAAACCATCTGTTTCGACGGTTGTGCCGCGAGCCTGTCCGATTTAAAACGACGGTGGATCAACCGAAACACATCTGCAATAACGTGATACACTTCTGGACTTGCCGTAATCTAAGAGCTTGATATGATATATGTATATATATATATATATATATATATATATGTATAGATACATATATATATATATATATATATATATATATATATATATATATATATATATATGACGCAACAGTGCGTTGGATGTCGTACACATTTCGACATCCACCATTCCTGTGTCAGTGTACTGCATTGCGTAGTGCCGCACGAGCTAGCTAACGCAGTTGGTTCAGTACTTATCAGGCGGGTTTCATCCAGAGACGCCGCATTTTTTATTGAGCCGCAGCCTAAGAAAAATGCCTGACGCTTGGAGCTCTTTTCGCAATATGGAAGCCGAACAGCTTCGGCTGCTCTGAGCGATTTATCTTAACGTCGGTGGTGGTGGCATTATGTATATACGTGCTGGGTGGCGTGTGCACGCATATGACGAAATAGTGCTCGGTTTTTTCATCGCCGGACCAGAGATGCCATAAAATGCGCAGCTCTCACAACGATCCGCAAAGCAGACTTCTTTCACCAAAATCAGGATGTGTCCCCAGCGAAGAAAAGAAGACCAACTGTGCATGGAAGAAAAATGAAGGCGGGCTGGCACAGACCGTAACTTTGTTCCAAATTTTGCAGAGGAAAGCAAAACAGGCGTACATTTTGCCCATTCCTCACCCCAGCTTAAAAGTTGGGGAAGGCAAGTACCTCTCCCGCGTACCCCCACTGCCACCGCGCGCCTGGACCTGCGTTCATATTTGGGGGAAAAAACGATCGGTATGGGTACATTTCGTTGAACGGCTTCTTCAAGACACCATAGGACATAACAAGCATTACTTTTGGTCTGGCTTCCTTGATATTGCATCAAAATCTCTCCTTGCATGGATGTGGCTAGTAGGGGACTAGTAAGAATATTCCAGGAGAAAATTTTTTCACGCCTTGTCATCCACCAACGCCATTTTAGGGTTAAGTTTTTCCCAGATTCCTGTGTGTCCCCAATGCTGATATTCCCTCCAATATCTGATCAGAGATTACGTTCAACCTCCTGCTGATAGCTTCTTTCTGTGAAGCTTGGGTTTTTGGTAAACGGCAGTTGGTCACCTGACAGTCTGTCTACGACACGTACCCGCCCATGGGTCGATAGGAGTAGTCACTGCTTTGATCATGGGCTGAACAGTAGATGCGACACTGGAAATGAAGTCGGTACAGGCACTCCTTTCTTGCTTCCCTGCGCATAGACAGGTCGCCGTTGGCACAAACCGAACCGCCTTTAACGACATTATTTAGGGCGCCTTGGCAATGTTGTAATGGCAATCGGTAAACAGTCAAATTCCTAAGCTTCGTATTCATCCGGGATCACTTCGACACATTATTCGTGTTACGTTTTCCACACACTTGAGACCCACGCAAAAGTCGCCGCTGTCGTGGATCAGCGGCTGGGAAAGCTGAGAACAGAAAGAACCAAAAATACTGCGGCCTCCCTCAGCGTCATCAGCTTTAACTGGTCGCCTTGGAAAACAGCGGAGCCTGTGGTCCCTTCGCGAAATAGCTTCTCGGAGGTCGCTGATGAGCCGAGGTTCACATCCCTCGGTGGGGCGATGGACGAGGCAGTGCCTGGCTCAGACAGCGTCTAACAATTTCCGATGGCCGAGGGAACGCAGCCTCAGTGACGTGCGCAGTCACCCCTAAGCACTAAGCTGTGGTGGACATTTTGTATTTATAAAAACGTCTGTTGCAAAGTTTTGTAAAACTAGTCCACAAAATCCTGGCGACTTTGACCCTAAAATCTCACGAAGTCTCTGACCTTGGTCAGGTTAGCGGGTTAGGGAAGAAGTGTTTCTATTTCGACCCCCATCTAATGCGTCGTTTTTTTCTCCAAGAATGAGGAATAAGTTTCAGCAGCCGGGCGGGAACGCGATCCTCGATCCATGCGTCACGAATCATTTCATTTGAGTAGTTCAGAGAATGTCTACTCTGTAGTGTCTGCAACGTGCAGTCTCAAATTCGCGTACCAAGCTGATGACATAGGTCAAGAAGATTCAACATCCTGTTTACAACCTCTCAGCCTCACCGGGTGAATTATCGGCACGCTACAAGCGACATGGCCTGTGTAAAACGTGTCTGCCCGACGGCTACCTGGTTCTGAAGCTATTAACCGCCCTGAGCATTTCATAAGACGGTGTCGCTTTGTCGTGCCACGGAATAAACCGAGGCTTAAGCTGACCTCCTGTGAGATCGTGATCCAAAGCTTCACTTCCCAAATACATCACTCACAAACATGGGAGGTCATACAATTGGTTTACAAGGGGTTCATTTGTGACGTCGTGACGTGACCTCAGATGACCCGAACTTGCAGTTAGGCTAACACAATCTTATGGCGCAAGCCAGAGTTCACCAGCCAGGCACAACCCCAACGAACATTACTTACCATGTACTTATCATGATCTGTCCCACAGCACTCGTTGATCAAACACGAGAACTCTCCGACAGGACAAGGCCGTGATGTAAGCCATATATTTCGAGTGCGGTTAGTGAAGGTACGTACTACATGGCAACATTGTGTCGCTCCTATTAGCCTTGGTGTGAATAGTGCCTCATATTTTGCACCGGTCTCGTGGGAAAGGGCCACGCTGCCCTCAAATGCAACTGTGGAAGACAACCAACATTTTCACACATCAAAGTGAGAATGCGCGCCACTCAGCATTGCTCGAGAAAGATGACCAGACCGCCACGCGTCTCATGCGGGCAGCCAGTTCTTGTCGCCGACCTTCTGACCGCCTGGTCGAAGGGGGCGACCGCAGGCTGAGCGGCCATATATAAGTCGTGCCCGGCCACCGGGCAGTCACCAGTGTTGCCCAGCGCCGTGTACCAGTATGAAGCTGGTAAGTGGTCGCCGGCCGCACGCCAGCGGGGTCTCTCACTCAGGGTCGGCCCTGCGCCCGCCGCAGCCGCCGCACCTGGACAACGCGCACAAGGGCCGCTCTGGAGACCGTCCGGTCGGCAGTGCCGTGCAAGCGAACGACCTAGGCTATTAATGTTTTTTAAAAAAATATCTGACGATATTTGCATGCCGTTATTTATAAAACATCTGACAACATTGGTTTTTAAAATTTGTAAAACATTTCACTTGGCCAAGGGCAATAAGTACTCCAAGTTATGGGACGGGTGATAGCTATTTTCTTATTTCTGCTAAGTCAGCTACCACCGGACCAGCACCAACCTTTCAGACAGTTGGGGACTCAGTCGCTCCCGGCCCCAGCGTTCTCGCGTCGCTGCATACTGTGAGGATGTGAATTAAGATGTGCGTATCGCTGGATTGAAACTTTTGCCGGTCCTCGACATTCGCAACAGTGGCACTTTGTGATGGTAAACTGCATCGATTGTAGCAGGGAACGGACGACTTCCTCAAACGCACAACAACCCACATCCCAACATTGTTATACCACGTTCTGTATTCTTATGCACCCAGGATGACCGCTGAACAGAGGTAATCGCCTGCCATTAGTCTGTTGGTTTGAAGTCGCTCAGGGTCCGAGACCTGACCTCGTTTACCCTTGCGGTGTCGGGTTTTTCAGATCGTCCTCGCCTGCCTGGTGTGCGTGGCCCTCGCCGACAAGTCGGCGCGGATCAGGAACTACCAGTACGGAATCGAAGAGGACGGTTCCTACAACGCCGAGTAAGTGGACCAGAACCAATATTGGCCCGGCTTTGAACAGATCTGGAACAAGTCGCACAACTTCTAGTTCTGAGATTGAAAGGATTCGCCAAGAGCCTCCGTTTTCTCATAGAGCCGTCCTATATCAGGCTGAATAGAATATTTGATTGGAAACCCTAGGAATTGTCTCGATAGACTCCCGCGCATATAAGCGGTGCCAGTGAAGTTCATGATTTCTACGCAACGTCTCATTCATTCAGTGCGACGCTAAGCTATCATTTGTATCAGTCATTAGGCCCACCAAGTAAATGCATTACATTCAACCACGCATTGGAAAACGAAGTACATCCTGCCTGTGTTTTTGCAACCGTTGGGTTCGCGGTGATTTGCGACCACGGCCAAGAATCCCTTCAATTATTGCATATGAGTACCAACTTTCTGTTAGCTCCCTTCAACCCACCGCAGGGCCAAAGTCAATTTGCAGAAATGCTACAGGACCAAGCGAACGGACTGTGAAAAATCAACGATAGGAACCAACAGAGGATGCCGTAGCCCGCGAATTTCAGGTTCCGCAACTCTTGAAAGGGATTGTGTCTACAGGTGAATCATCCTAGAGTTTATGTCGTAAAAAGTTGCTGCCTTTACCCCCTTTATTTGACATAGTTTTGCTAGGGATTTTTCTATGCTCTGTAATGGCTCCGAACATTTTCGCCCTTACCGCCCGCTCAGTCGGAGGCCGGGACCACGTGGTGGTCCTAGCGTGGACCACGACCTAGCGTGCGGACTGCGTGGTCATGGCACCCTTTTGGTGTACGGCGGCTGTGACCTATAAACGGCGTTTTGCAAACTAAATGTTCTAATAGCTCCAGGCACAAGATCCGCAAGCTCGCTTGGTAGATTGCAGTGTTCTCAGTTAACGTTGCCGAGGGTCTCCACCCTGTCCTGTTCCCACGGCCCCAACCGCCGTGATTTCCGGGCGCGGTACCCCGCAGCCTTCATCGCGGCGAAGCCCGCGCAAGCGCCCCACTCCCTCAGAAGGGGGCAGGGCGGGTGTCGCGTGCCGGCTGCCGCGCATCAAAGCACGCCTTGTTTGCTGACCGAGATTTATTTCTAGCGCCCACCCAATGACTACATTCCGCCGTCAAGCCACGTCCATCCGACGCAGCGTGAGCCTTGACCGGCCCCTCCCCTAATCCCCTGCGCAGTGCTTCAGCTCGCCGATCTGACCAGTGCAAAGTGACGCGTCGGGCCTCATGGGCGGCTACTTAGAGGCGCTTACGTAATCTAGATGCAAGAAAAAGCTACGGTGGGATTAGCAGTGTTGCCATCGCGCCGCGTCCGCCCATAAAAGCCGTGTCAAATGGATCGCTAAATTGGCGTCACTGTCATGGTTCACTTTGCATAGTGGGCTTTTTGCAGGGCGTCGTACCGCGGAGCAGTAAAGTGAAAGGATAATTTACAGGGTGCTAAAATTCCCCGGAAGATCCGCTTGGTCGCCGACTGTGCGCATACCACGCCCTTGTGAGCACACTGAACAGACAGAAGTTTACGTCTCGTGCGCTCCCGCGTGCGCGTGACATCGACGCCTACGTATGCCTGAGATCCCTTACATCAACTCCGTCCACAGGTACGAGACCACCAATGGGATCTCAGCCAACGAGGACGGCATTTCGTACCCGGGCAACGAGCCGGAGACTGGCAACTACGTAAGGAGAGGCTCCTACTCGTACGAGTGGGAGGGCGTCACCTACACCGTCACCTGGACGGCCGACGAGAACGGCTTCCACCCGGAGGGTGACCACCTGCCCGACTTCAGCCACACCCGCGAGCACATAGGCAATGTTGCGGATCACGAGTAGCGCGTCTCTTGTCAGGGCCCGATGGTGGCTGTCTTTTCCCTTGTGATACACTAGTTGCGTGACATGTCTCGATCGCCAGTCCCGTTGAGAGATGTTTGACCGGTGCTGGCCAGTCTGTGTTGCGTCCTATCGTTGCGTCTCTCGTTACTGAGTGGTGAAATGTCTGCGCCACCAATAAACTGTTCCATGTCGCTTCAGTGTATGACCCCATCACTACTGTACAGACAGGAACTCACAAGACGATAGATATCCGGTATTTGCGAAGAGCACGTTTGCGCTATCGAACCCCCCACTATGCCAACACCGGTGGTGGCGGGACGGCGACGCTTTACTCATGCGGCGCCGGCGCTGGATATCTAGCCGTAAAGGAACTGAGCCTTACAAAAAAGGGAACTGGAGATAAACAATTAACCGCCATCAGATATTTTCTGGGATCATTTGGTTATTTCCTTTTAAGAAAAAATTCTGATTTACGCTTCGGACGGTTGCGTTGATGGCACTCACAGCTTCAGAAAATGTTTACCAAATATATATATATATATATATATATATATATATATATATATATATATATATATATATATGTATGTGTGTGTGTGTGTGTGTGCAAGGTCGGCTGTTTTATATATATGTAAAAGTTGTATATATATATATATATATATATATATATATATATATATATATATATATATATATATATACGCTTGTTAACAGCCTTGTAGCGGAGTACGATGTGTGTGTGTGTGTGCAAGGTCGGCTGTTTTATATATATGTAAAAGTTGTATATATATATATATATATATATATATATATATATATATATATATACGCTTGTTAACAGCCTTGTAGCGGAGTACGATGTGTGTGTGCTTACTGCAATCACCGGCCACCATAAACATTGCCTGATCCTCAAGAACTCGCATTACCTAAAAATATTGTTTATATCAGGTCTAGTGGAAAAGTTTAACGTCCCGCCTAGGGTGAAGGCTCCGAATGTGCGTTGATTCGAAAATAGTTGGGTCCGCATTGTCTGTAGCTGTATCTAAAGTTATATTTTAAAGTTGGTGTTGTTAGGGAGATGCCGTGTTGCGATGCATCGGTTAGCAGCACGTTTAACGAACGTCAAATAAGCGATTATAACAGTATCTAATCGCGAACTAGGCAACAGAAAATGAGCGGTGCTGCCAGAACTCAACCAGCGGAAAGTGTCGCAGAAAGACTGATTGCCTGACTGACGATCAGTCTTTATCTCTCGATCTCTAAAGACTGACGGTTGTAGATCATTCTTGTTACCAGGATGGAGTAAAACAGCAGTTCACGGACAAATGTTGGAACACGGCACAGTCACGTGCTTACACCTTTTTGTCCTGCATAGCGCGGCGTTTTATAGCTAGGCGGCCCTTGAAATCCGCACCACGTGTCCAGCACAGCTGATGCAATAAGTCAGCACTAAGACCGCTGAATACTGGTTCAACTACTCGTGCAGTCGCTTGCAACGATCCCCTATGCACGCAAATGCCTAACGTCACACCTCGGGACCGTCAGAGGCCCTTCCTGCCTTGACCCCATTCGAAGCCGCCCTCTGCATCTACAGCATTCGCCCTGGCGGACTGTAATGCGAATCTGACAAGCCACTTGCCCAACCTGTGCAGTTTGTCTCTGACGACCCTTTGTAGCCGGGGCAGAACTCCCCGCTCACAGCGCACCCTAACATGTGAAGGTGGGGCTTGAGCCCCTTCTCCTTGTGGGTGAAGGTAAAAAAGGGTTCCGAGGGTTCTGCTGGCAGCATGTAGGACGGCACAGGCATCTTATGTCGCTGATTGCTCATTACTTCCGATGAGCACTTGCGTACAGGTACCATCTGCTACTCTGACGTGTATATAATCATGATCACTTCAATGCGCCCTAAAGTAAGCAATATACAACTATTTTCAGACCGTGTGGCAGTTTCACTCAAGTCTGTGATCAAAGGTTTATAAAGGTTAAGTTGGCTTGAATTCAAATGCGGTTTGATTTGCCGGTGGGGCATTATAACACCCCTTTCCAAAAATCAAATCTCACCTCTCCCAGCCTGACATAACTTTTGCATTGCATGTAACAATGATATGTTTAGTTTGTGAATGGTCTCTGTCAAGTCTGCAGAGGTTCTGATAAAGCATGCATTTTTAACTACTTGTCAATTATCATAATTCAAAACCTCAAAATCAACAATTACTTCAGCATCACTAGTTTGTCGTCTACAGGTTGCTATCTACAATATTTTGTTGTTCGAATCGTCAGTATTGGTATGCAGTCGACCAAATGTGTTCTTAACACAATGATAATAATCTTGATGCAATCTTGTGAGTGCTGCACCAGCGTCTTATGGTCAGGGGCAGGTAACGGGTTGGGATCCCTGATTCATACTCAATTCATGCTCAACTAAATGTAATCAACTCAGACCCCCGCGGGGAATTACGCGGTGAAAAATGATGCCAACCACACCCAAAAAACGCCAGCACACGTGCTTCCTCCCAGACTTGGCTCACTTTCCTCTTAAAGTCAGGGTGCTGGAGTCCAAGTTCTTTGGCGGGAGGGTGGCTAGACCGACGCCTCTCATTCCTATTGAAAAGGAAACTATACCCTTGCCAATAAGAGCCAGGTTTGTTTTATGTAGCTCCAGGTGTCCAGTGTCACCCCACACACATACGAAGATGCCCTTACGTTTCTAATACTGCTACCACTGAAGGGAAATGTCGAAGATAGAGCATACCATTTAGAACACACATTTTTCTTCTTATCTAAAGGTCTGCTTTAGATCGTGTAGGGCAAACACTGGACCCTTCAGGCTTCATGTTTTAGTAATGAGTTAGTCATGTTTGGTCCCAGGGTGGTTTGGCCTCTGGGGGTCTCGCTTGCCCTCCAGGTATAGTGTCCGGAGCCCTGTGGTCATCCACTGGCTACTCAAATGATCATCATATCATTAAGTTGCATTCAATGCATGTTGATCTAGCAATTCCACCGCACTAGAGTAAAGCATGACATGCACAGGAACTGTTTGCAACTCCAAAATGTTACCAAATGATTATGTTGTTGTTCTTCACCCGGACAAGCTCCCATAAGATCGCATTCTTTTCGCATTTTTCCTCTGCAAGAAAGCAATATCAAACAGTACTGGCATGTGCGCAAAGCAAGCCTGCATCCGTTATGACCAGGGGGCACCATCTGCATCCTTTCACACTATCCAGGGGGCCATCGTCGCGGCTTGAGAAATTGGTCGGGCTGGCAGCTTGTTAACGTCAGCCGGTGACGTCACAAAGTCGCAATGGCGCGGCGGCGTTGCATTGCAACGTCGATCGCGTCGCTTGGAAAGCAGTAGTTACGCAGAAATGCTGTGGTTTGTCATGTCTATTCTCTTCAAGGCGTTGTTGCTGTTCTTCAACCAGGCAACCCTTTTGAATCTTTTTGAACAATCCCTTTTTGAACAACTTATTTTGATTGCCATGGTTAACCTATGTCAGGGCAATAATGGGTATGCTCCACAAAACAATCTGTCCTCTCCAAAAGTAGCATAACTTTTAGATGCCTATGCCAGCATTGCTGCTTGCCTTTTCAGCTGCAGCAAACGCATCTATTTAGGTTTATTTTTAAAATATAATGACACCGTTTGCGATGTTGGCTTCACATTTTAAATGGGATGATATTTTTGTTGCGCACTGATATTTAACTCATATTATAATTGCTATGCAGCTCAGAGTAGCCCAGTGTTTAAAATATAGTGCATATATACAGTACAGTCCTTTGCCAGTCACCAAACCATGACAACTGTAGAAGACATCTGGTTGAGGAAGCCATGAGGGACCGCTTCAAGAAATTTGGGTCAAATAATCAAGAATATGGAACAAAATAAGTCCATTGCATGTCTTGTGGCAGCATAATTTGTCTTATCACAAAACTCGATGGATTAAAACAAAAATGGCTTACTCTGGTTACCAGTGATGTGTTAAAAGCAGGTAACGTAAGCAATTACTTGGTCCACAGGAGACTTACTGGCTTCTTCCTGCTCCCTCAAAACAAAACAAAAAATCGGTACCTTTTGCATGATCTGCTGGCAGAGTCATCCCACTCACTCCCCCACCCCCCAAATGTAAATACCAATCATGCCCACCAACCTAGAAGATTAAAATGCGAAACAAGTGAGAGGTGTGCATGATAAACATCTCCGGAGGCCAGATTTCCGCCATCGAACACTTCTGTATTATCTGCGTCAGGTCTGTCCCAAAGGTCTGTTTGGCAGCATTAGGATTAGCCTTGTCAGGTAGCCTGGTGAGTTAGGCACTCGAAAGGCTTAAATGTATCATTATTTAACACCGCCATGGACCAAGAAAACGGTTAACCGAGGGTTTAACAGCGCAAAAATGGCGGTAAAAATAAGCTCCGTGCTTCAGATTGTCTCCTTGATTTCCTGTGAACTGTTCACTCTTTGGTGCATATCAAACACGTCTGGGCGGCTGGCGAATTAATCCAATTTAGGTATGAAATACGGACAAGTTTGCAGTTAGAGCATCTTGCAGAGAAATTGGTCAACGTTTAAAGCAACAGATGGTACCTGTAAAGAAAATCGAAAAGGAAGGAAGAGTAAAGAGGTATCACACTCATTTGATACCAAGAAAAACAAAAGCAGTTAAATAAATGTAAAGACGGATACTTTTCTAACAAAATTTTGTAATCAGCTAATTTGACTTAAACTCTGGAAACGTGAGTGCTCAAATGGTGATATGCATCTTGCAAACTTAAGTTACAAGACATTTGTTGGATTTTTTACTCCTGCATTTCGGGAGTGCTGCAATTTAGTGGCTAAGTTTCCTCGGGAAAAAAGAAATACGTGGAGTAAATTTCTCTACCAGGCCTTGCTGATGTTTGCACCACGCTCTGGTTTCGCAGTGTGGTGGTGAGACCAAAAAAGGTGATGTGTGAAAACCTTGTATTTGGCACACAGCTGCCGATTGTGATGCATTTCGTGAACAAACCAAACTTAATGCGCGCAAGCGGCCGGAGTCGCTGGGGTTCTTGGGCTTGGAGGTACCTGGCGCCCTTGCTCTGTGCATACATAGACATGATTCAGATGTAGGTGAGGCAGGACATATATAGGTGTCCAGGTTCTGTGGAGCCTCGTTTATGCTTGGTGGTTTCAAGCGAGCTCGGTTT